TATGTCATGCTTAGAGGCTCAGCACTGGTGTCAGTTTGGACTGAGACTGGGATGAATGGTTTCAAAAAGAAGTGGCTTTTATGGTTCTTTTCTCTCTTTCTCTCTCTTTTTTTTTTTCTCCTAAATTGTCACAGAAGCAGAGATTGGCAGTACCTGTTCTCTGCTTTTTTATTGTTAACATGTTGCATATTTAAGGCAGAAAACACTCCCAGTTGTCTGAATGGGACTGTGCTCCAGCTCTTGCTGGACTAAGACTCGGCACTGTAGCAGCCTGAGCAAAAGACTTTCCACCAGCAGCATTTGTGGAGATGGAAACTGTATTAGATTAAGATCTAAGGAAATACAATAACCGGACCCTAATTAGCCATCTACACAGAAATTTTGAACATGGTATGTTTGCAAATGGATGCCCAGGAGAGACTCATTTGTTTGCCAGCTTATCGGGCTCTGGATCTCTTACACTAGGCAGCAGTGACATCACATTAAATTGACTAACCCTAGAATTAATGCCAGGGTACCTTGTCAGGGAACAGAACATGATTGTCCATGCAATTAAAATATTAGAAAGGTCCTGGAATGGCTTAGGGTTTTCTCTGGCTTCTTCCCAAAAAATTCCCAAGCAGCTTGGGATTTAATGCAAGCAAGAGACAATTCTTCACAAACATTTTGGATGTAAACATATTACTTTGCAGTATAAAACAGTGTGGCTAGAGACTATTCTATACGAGTTGTCTTCAGGGCCAAAGAATGGTACCAAGTATATTTAAACTACTAGTTCAGACAAATTCTAAGCGTGTGGAACTCTAGAAAAAATGGTGGAGTCCCTAGGTCAGTCCTAATGATGTTTGCACTTCTGAGGCTGGCTGGTTAAATTGTGGGAGAAGAAGGAAATAACAAGTATAATGAACTGAAGATCTGACCTGATGTTGTTGTGTGATAAATCCTCCACAGCCAGCATTTCTCCTCTGCATGCTGGTATGATTTGTGAGTGGATTAACACCTGCATTTTTCTTCAGGTGTCCCAGTACAAAATGCAGCAGGTATCTGAGACATATGAATGACATGCTGGATGTGTTTAACGCAATAAAGAAGATGGAGATATACAAGGACATACTGTGTGTGTTTACTGTATAGTGGCTTTGGAGGAGACAAAAGGAGAACAAGATGTTACAAGAATGAGCCTCTATGCCAGGCTATTTGGTCCTCCTGATAACATGGCTTTCATTAAATGTAGGGCTAAGATAACTGTCATTTTCTTGTTCTTGGGTGTGTGTTCCCATTCACTACAGCAGAGTAAGCTCCTAAAGTAACAATGAATGCAAGTGCCAGAACTCCCAGTAAGGAACCACTTTGACTACCAGGAGTGGTCATTACTAAAAAGCTTATGATTTGCAGTGGTGCCACACACTGCAGTCATGAAGAAAAAGGCCTTTTTTGTCCCTTCTATGCTCAGATTCTCCCAAGCAGCTTTATGGCCCTGTGTCTCTTTCGCAGGCTATATGCAGTATAAATTTCCATTCCCCTCCCAACTCTTACTCTGCCATTTAATTCTTCATCAATACCTCAAATTCTCTTGTTTTTGATAGATGAGCCCTGCATTCCTGGTGAGCTGTTTGGCTTGGAAGAATATTTGAAGAGTAAAACAAATAAATGAAAATGATAAGTGATGGTACTGGTCCCTGGAAGTAGCTAACAAATCAAACAGGTTTCAATAATAATTTTTGCATAGCAAAGTTTTGTTACTTTATATAGTGGAAGTACTTAATTTCTTTAATGCAAGCCTCTTTTACAGACTCCTTCCAAAATTTCACAGAACAGGTATGGAAAATTATTTGTTGAGATAGCAAATAATTAGAGTCACTGAAAGATCCATGAAGGAAATATTTCTGAAAATTCTCTAAAAATGTTAATACACCCATTACAAAATACTATCCAGGAAAGTTCAGTCTTCTCATGGAGAGTCATTTCATGACACAATTCCCTTAAAATAAGAATGATTAATAATGATTAATAATTTCTTTTAAAATTTGATTGAAATGCTAATTGCAGATGAGTAATAAGACTTATTAATAAAAAGATAAAAAATTTGCTCTTCCAGAAGATTGTTTTGTGGGAAAACTCAATCTTCATGTTCCAAAACTGTATTTTTCTGCATATCCACGTGGAAAGATACTTTCACTCAAATTGTTCATATCTCTCTAAACATTATTAGAGTACCCATACAGTCATTCAAAGAACACAGCCATGAAGCAGCACTCTACAGTTTCTGATGCCACACTACTCTTACAGAAGTGTAAGTAACATGGAAAAGTAAAAAATTTTCACAAAAGTTCATGAAAAGAAAACATCCAAACCAAGTCCCCAGAAAGATTGGCATCACGCTTACAGATATTCCAGGAAGTGAAAGAGTAGGCAAGTTTATTAGATAAACCTTGTCTAGTGAATAATTAACAGGTCAGCTTTAAGGTCAAGCTTAATATAAACTCTTTGTTTGGTTTTGTTGTTGTGACTGTGATGTTTTACTTTTAATGTCTAATAAAGGGTTATACCAGGTAATCCTCACAGAATTAGGTGGGAGACTTATTTATTTAATGGGTCATATTGATTTAATTTTTAAATTTAAGTTACTGTTTTGATAAGTGTCCATGTTTCATGGGATCGCATATAATTCAGTGTTGTGCCCATTTTATAGTTAAGCATACACAAATGTTAAATGAACACTGTTGTTAAGGTCACAATATTAGTCAGCCAAAAGGCTGGAAATGTATATGTTCTGTAAATGCATTTTTATAAAATTGCAGATTATATATTATTTATTTCATAGGGCCCTTGCCTCTTTTTGCATAAATCAGGGATATGAACTGAGTTTGTGATGTCAGAGAGATTATGGTAGGCATTTAGTAGGATTTCATCCATATTTGTGACAGAATTTGAGTAGTGATGCAGCAAAGGCTTCCAGGGAGAAAAGAACAGGTCAGTGGATAAGGCAATTGAATTCTGTCTTGAAAGCTAAATTGTAACCTTGCCCCTGAGTTTGTAATTGATGCTATGTGAGTTACTTAGATTTATCATAGGTAGCCACTAACCATTTTTTTCAATGTCTGATGAGAATCTGATTTATCAACATGCTGAGTACTTAAATCTGGATCTGAAGTGAATGACAGTTATAAGTGGGTAAATGAAGTATGGCATAGTGCTAAATAGTTATAAAAAAATAAAGGCCATGAGAGCTCTCATATGAGACACCTAAGATTTCTGGATTCTTTTATCTTATCTCCTTTGGATCTCAGAATTCCCGTGTGTTAACTGAAGATAATAGCATGCTTTGGTTTTGTAGTAGTGCTTTAAAATAAATGTGCCAGTGTTTTAGAAGTACTCTGCCAGAATGACCATGTAAGAAAAAACACTGGTGAAATCTGTAGTTCTACATTCAAAAATTCTGCATTCTTACTTGAAGGAAATCTAAGAGATAGAACATAATGCCAGATTGAGTGAGAGAAGTAGTGGAAAATTTCTCATTAAATAAGTACTTCCTATTCCAGTGCAATGCATGAAAGAAGTGTCCAGAACAAAACTGGTAAATGGCCATGTATGTTAAATGATATAGTAAAATAATATGCGTGGAGCAGGGAAGCAATTAAAAATTTCACAGACCTGGTGTTCCCCAGCTCTTGAGTGTTTTGGCATGGCTCCAAAATGAATGAATATTTGTGGTGTTTGCAAGAGTACTATTTAAGTCAGTGTTCTTGCCAAATACAGTGCCTAGACCATGGATATGTTAAAGCCTAAACGGCTTTTCTAATAGTGTCCTTGACAAACGTATGAGTAGATTTAAACAGGATTTTAGAGCTAAAAGAGAATGGCAGATGCTATTCTTGATAATGTTACTAGCTCTGTGTAGAACACAGTGCTATCACTGCAAACGCCCACTACCACGGCCCAAGAGGAGCACTTCCTATGACTTTTGGGGGAGAAGCTTCCCTTCTTTCAGAAATGGATCTGACAGTTATATAGAGTGCTCAGTGTGAGGGCATTTATGGTGCTGCAAATGTTTATTGCCCACAAATAGAACAAGAAATGTTGACCATTTCAAAATGGAAATTCACTATTAAGACAGGAAAAGAGGCGATTGCTATATGACAAGCTAATAGTTCAGTTACATTTACGTGTCCATTACCAAGTAGTAGGGATGTAATTTCCTACTCTTACAGTGCTTTTTGACATAACAAGATAAACATATGAGGTAACTGGAGCTAGTACTTGGTACCAAACCATCTGCAAAGTATTTTCTGTGTCAATCTTGCAGATTTCACAAAGATGAGCCTTCAAGCTTTGCTTGGGAAAGACCACAATGTTGTCATGACAGAAGGTCAATAAAAAGGCCTAGGAAAATACACAATGCTTATCTGTTACAACAGCTGTATGAGTATTGTCTTACGAGCAGTGTCCCTGTGGTATGGTTTATACCCTTACAAATATGCTAGGAGCTATTATGAACTATGTCATTTGAGATAGAACGCAGTATTTAAGCAGATGCGTGGCAGTGACATGGTATCTCACACCACATATGGCTGCATTCTTACCCACAGCTCCTGCTAGGAAAAAAAAAAGAGAACAAACTTTTTGTCGTGCAGTAGGAGAAAGTCAAATAGCCACAGCTGTTTGTTACTTTTTCTGTTGATCATTACGAATGATAAGGACACACACGAATGATAAGGACAGGTTTTGCCACGATATAGGATTGCAACAATGTAAAGGAGTTGTGCAGTTATCTGTGGGAAAGTAAAAGTTATTTTGTTATCTATCTTGGATCACCAAGTTTTTTACCAAGACTAGGTGATCGTGGGTTTTGCTCTTTACCATGAGAGTGGACATCATTCCTCTGGCTTAATTTTCTTTAGCGTATATGCGCAGTCATGTTCTAAACAGCCGTGTTTTTGCATAGCCAAAAATCTCTACCGAAACAGGTGCCTGTCTGCTCACTCCTCTTTTCCCATTCCCCACAGAGAATAACTAAAGCTCCGGCTCTTAGTCCCCGCCTGTGGCACTCCAGAGAAGTGCTCAGAAATGACAGGCAGGAAGAGAGACCGAGGGGATCGGGGCGGGGATGCGGGGCTCTCCGCGGACCGTGCCGGGGCGACCCGAGCACGGGGTAGGCGACAGCAGCCAGGGGCTCTCCTTCTCCTCCTGCCTCCTTACCTCTCTCCCTCTTTCCTTCCCTCCCTCTCTTCCGTCCCGCCCCACCGCCCCCTGGGCGGGCCGCCCGCCGCGGCCCATATAGGAGCGGCTCGGGTTGCTGGCGGCACAGCGCATCCTTCCACCCGCGGGCTCCTCTCGGAAAAGAGGCGGATTCCCCATTGCGCCGCTGCCATGGCCTCGGTACCCTCCGCCGGCTGCCTCCTGGCCAAGAACCAGTACTACAGAAGTGAGTGCTCAGAGGGGCAGGGAGCTGCCTGTCGTCCACAAACACACCCTCCGTTCTTCTCCCCCTCTTCCCTTCTCTCGGACTAAGGAGCTCTTCTGGAGGAGGAAGGCTGAGCTCATCGAGCCTCTCCCGAGGAGATGCCCGGGTTGTTGGCACTCGGGAAAGGTCAGAAGGTGTTTCAGATGATGTCTGGATGAGCTAGAGGCAAAGGCATGTCTTTATGCAGTAGTTTTTAATTTCTTGGAGAGGTTTTCATACGAAGGAATTTAGTGTTAATGAGCATTTGCTTCTAGCTATTTACCTATTCACAGCTTCTAGCTGTGCTTCATATTTACTTTGCAAGCTTGAACGCAACACAAAATCAATTCACATTTTGTTTCTAAATATGTGAAATAATATGGTGTATTAGGATTCCATTGTACAGGATGGACACTGTTGTGCGAGTGTAGTATATAGTTGTATTACAATGGAAACTATAGCAATTAGGTTGTTTTGGACTTGAATGTTCAAGTATAGACTTTTTTGTTTTGATAGCAATGTGGAGGATCATAAGCTTTTTCAGTAATTTTGGTAAAAGTTATCCAGATAGATCTCAGTATATTTTCAAGTGAAGCATAAGTAGACTGAGAGATGAACTGATATAAAAGTTTTTATAAAAACAACTGTAGTAAAATGGTGTATATAATATAGAAGTTATACTCTGTTGCTCAGTAAACTTGATTCCTTCAATATAGCAGCAGGTCTGAAAAACTCTTGACATAGAAATAGAGTAGGCTCTCAAAGCACTTTTTAAATTATGTGTGTCTCTGTTTTCCATGAACAGCAAGACTGAACTCTGAATCCAGCGTTTCTTCCAGCTCCTCCTGCTGTTCAGATGCTGTGAACGTTACAGACCAGGAAAAAATATTTCACGGTATTCTTCCCTTCATTGAAACACTCTTCAGTTTTGCCTGTTTGTTATGCAGACAGTATCTAATAATGTGGTCTTTTCCTCCTTTGGCAGGGTTACCTGACTTAATTGATAAATATTGGTGGATAAAAAGTTTCTTCCATAGTGAACCATCTCCACCACCTGTTGGCAGAAAAACACTATCAGCAAGCAGGTGAGTTCTGTTTTTACAATGGTGGGGAAAACTTATTGCATTTTCCTTTTGCTCTAAACAAGTCATAATTCACTAAAACCCTCTGCGGGGTGCAATGCTATTTTCATGACTTACACTTGGAGTATCTTTTGTTCAGGGGTATAGAAGCTTCCTGTGTTTTCATTTTAATAAATGGAATCATATGCTACTACACATTATGAAGGTGTTACAGTCTATTACTCTTTCACATTTATGGTGCTATTTATTTAATCTTCTACCCATAGAACTTGCACACCCATTTATACAGTTTACCAATTTTACTTTATGGTAAAAAGATGATACTAATGCATTTGAAAATACTTAAACACATAAATATCTTTGAGGATAATACAATGAAAATTCTACTCATAACAGTTTTATATGTATTTCTGCAGTACCAACAGTTGAAAAGAATAGCGTGATGGCCTTACTGACTGAGATGCTATGTACAGACCGGTTTTTCCAAGAGGCTTGGGATCTTCCTAATGTCTGGGTTCAGCTGCAAGAAGAAAACAAAACCTTTAGGAAAGTGGAGAAGTGTATTTTCAAAATATTTGTCAGTAGCTTAAATGATATTGCTTAATGGATATGTCCATGGCCCACTGTGTTCTTTACAGAATTGTATGATTTGAGATGTCTCTCTAATAGAAGTAACCAGGATTATATATCCAGATGAACTGAATAATCAGAGAAAAAATTACAATAAAGGTAAGATATTGTAGGTTTAGGAGAAGAATCTGTGTTGGATGACTGCAATAGGTTAAGTTACCTTTAAGATATCAACTCTACAGGCAGTCACACTGATACAAAGATTCAGATCTATAGTCCGGAGTAGGACTGCTATATTGTACATGTCTTCCATCAAGTATTTGTGTACCAGTTACAGAGAGTAAGTTTACAAGAATGATTGTCAATTGCTTTGATTTTAGAAAGCCCAGTTACATGAAGAAACAGTAATCTGTTTGGCCTCTTTGATCAAGGAGGGTGCATAGATCCTAACCTCAAATATCCACGTACAACTTTCATTCATATCTATGCATGTTGGTTTCTGAGGACAGAATATAGGAGATGGACAAGGAACCAGTAATCCTAGTGGACACTGACATTTTCCAAGGAGAAAAGCAACCTTAATCAGAGTTCATACTCCCAGCTCCATTTTAGATTTCTCTCATTCACTTTGTTGTGGCTTGAAGAGCTACTTGTTCTTAGTTGACTAATTCTATCAATATTCTGCTCTCTGTCAGCTTAGTTATGTGCTAGATCTGGCAAAATGTTCCACTCAAGGTAATGACACTGTTATTATCCAAGTCTATCTTTGTTGTGATTCGTGCTCTTGAAAGACACTGTACTATTGCAATGCTGAAGACCAAATGAAGCTAATTAGTACATCAGATTACTTATTCTACTGGGTATGACTGAAATGCATCAGAGAATATGGCAAATAACATATTTGGCTGGATGATAAAATTTGTGTCAATTATCTATGTAACTCTTTGATGTATTATCAGTAAACCTGCCTGATGTTTATCCATCACTGGATGAACTAACAGTAGCCAATATTAATGTAACCAACATGTTTTTACTATGGGTTAACGGTTGTCATGGATGTGCATAACTCCAAAGTGTATCAAGTGGCTTCTTCAGGAGGCTTACAGTCTCTGTGAAGACAAAAAATGCATGGCAGGTGACAACAGACAAGAACACAATTCTGAAAGCATAATTTCAAGGGTCTTTAAATTGACTTGTTATGTGTCTTACTTTACTTCTATTGTATAGTTTTATCTTTCTCCTTTAAGTGTACAGAATGAGCTTTTTTATGCTAAGATTTTTTTATTAATAAATATTTAATCAGTAGTTGGTCTGATTTTTTTTTTTTTTTGGCCTTCAACAACAACCTGGTGTTCCATGTTTCTTGTGGTGCAGTTGGTGGGTGGTCTGGGAGTTTTTGGAATGTATATGTATTTTTTTTTTTTTTAACTTGAAGAATTTGTAAAATTTAAAATTCCCTCAGAGGTCTGTGTTGTGTGTGTCACATTCTTCCTTTAGTCACTTCAAAGTCTGATGTGAGGTGAAAAAGGAATGCAGGCTAGGAAAAAGACCCTAACAACTTTTTATATAAGATCATGTTGTAAAGGAAGAGAAAAAGACAACTTACAAGTTTCAAGAAGGTGATTATGTCTCTCTTTGAAGATGTTTTAATCACAGGAGAAATATTATTACACATGAGAAATATCCGTTTCAGAATTGACAAGCTTCCCTACTACTTGTTGAGCTTAAGGTGTTTCTGTTCTTATATAGTCAAAAAATGGGGTGCAGAAGAGGCTTAAAGAGCTGATAAGCTGTTAAGACCCACAAAAAAATCAAAGCACTTTTGTTGTTGGGGGGGGTCAAGGCTGGCAGAAGAAAAGGGAGACTGCATGTTCTTTACTTTCATCTCCTTAGGTTCTCTGAGCTACTTGTTTTTGTAATGGCATCATGCTGATAGAAACCTCTACTCTAGAGAGGTGTCCTCCTGCCATCCACATCACCTTTTACTGTGATCAGCTCAGCATTGGAGCAGCACCACTGACAACTCGTAGTGATTTCTGTCAGTTCTTCAAAGTATGCAATGAATCAATTCAATTAAATAACTTCCAATGTTGCTGTAACAAACTCCTGAGAGTACATGGGTTAATGGGACATGAAAGTGCTTGCTATCAAAGGGCTGCATCTTGTTACTTCATGGTAATAGGGAAATGTTAATTTTCTTGATTTAAATGCCAATACAATGTAACTTTGGGAGGAGGGGAAAGCCAAAGTTTAAAAGATTTATAGAGAAGCTGTGATAAATACGAAGGGGAAGCTATATTGTATAGTTTAAATACAACTTACAATAAGAAAAAATAGGAAAATAATATGATTTCATATACCTATCTGGGCAAGACAGGTACAAATGTTTAATTACAGTACAAAAAAATGCTTTTTCCTGTTATAAGATCTACAGGTAGAGATTTATTTTGATGAAGTTAATTTGTGTGTTGCTATCCATCTGGAAAAAAATGAGTATCAGAAACAGGACTTGTGCCAGTATGGAAGTATTAAGTTAGATCCAATTACCAAAACCAAATTAGGAATGGACAGCTGGACTTGAGAAAGACTTTCTTTTTTTTCCTCAAACATGCATATAGCAATGATATTTAATAATGGGCTTCCATTTCTTTCCTAAGAGAAAACTGAAGTCATATTCTCCCGATCCTAGTACTACTCTATTTTAGGAGTCAAAATAAAAGAAAAATCTTATATAATTTGTTTTGGTTCAAGAAGGAAGAAATCTTTCTGTTGACCACATTTGGAGAGAGAAATTCATTATAATGAAATATTTTTCCCCCATTTGTTGTGGTTTGGAAGAAAAGCCATAAAGTTACATTTCTTTCCAAAGGCTTTTTTGCCTGTATGTGAGGTAAGCAATACTACATATTGAGGATGGACAATAGTGAGGATTAACTCTAAAGACTATAGCTATTGCAGTCTAATGGGATTTTTTGGCATAATTGCTTTTTCTGCAGAAGCAAGAATGATAAACGAACCCAAGTAAATAAAACTGGTTTTCAAATAAGAATGAAGAGCAAATCAAACAGCAAGTCAAACTCATTTTGAGTTGTTAGGAGTAAGTAATATCTCTGTAATTTATTTGTTAAGGTCACCTCTTTGTGATATTACAACATTCTGATATTTTAAAATAATTGCAAATCCCTCTTTATTTTTTTCATGATCTTAACTAATCATGTATTATTTCTTCTTGAAAGCAGACTCTCTATAATTGTCACTTCTCAACTCTTCCATGAAGGAAAACCCAAGCAGGGTTTATTCAGCCATTTCTACCAGGATTAATGCTGTTTGCAAAACATTTCTCAGATTATTGCACTTACAACTGGTGGCTGAAAATTTTGACCATGACCATGTTAGGTGCCCTGGTTGACTCTTCAGTGATGGAGGGATTTCTGTCACATCTCTTTTGTCATGCACTCTGTCATATGCCATTTTAAGCTGTTCTGGCAGTACCAAATGTGAAATATACTGCATGTAATCACTGGAAGATAGGTCTTTGTAATAGAAAGAGGCTATCGCTAATGGGGAAGAGAATCATATCAGTGTATTGGGAGGAAGTTGTGGAAAGGCATATTTTTCCTTTTTTCCCCATTCCATCTCTCTCAGAAACTGGGAAGAAATAGATCAGTTTTCCAAACCTACACCAAAAGAGAAGATTCAGATCCTGATTGCAGTACTCAGTGATATGTGCAGAGGCACTCGATTGGCTTTTTCTCAAAAATGGAATTCCAAAAGTGCTTGTAGCCAAAATGGCAGGGCATGATCTGGACAGAGATATACTGCTAGAGTAACTCATAACATGAAAAAAAAGGACTCATGCAGTCAAACAGTTTCTTTTCTCAGCTGTATTAGCCACTGCATTTCTTTCAAACTTGAACCATCTTTGGCTTCAACAAAATTAATTTTCATTTATACCTGTAAAGCAGAACCTATAATCTCCCTTTACATATTTCTTTGAGGTAGCCCTACTGGATGCAAGATAAAACTGTTTTGTCAGTTTGTAGAGGAGCACCAAGGTACAGCTTGATGTCAATCATCCTACAGGGATCATCTCCTGGGCATACTGAAGCCAAGATGTCCAGGAGAAATGCATCAATACCGGAAATAGCTTTTTAAAAAGACATTATTCAGATTTTGTTTTCTTTTTGTTTTGTTTTCTGGGTTTTTTTTGTTTTATTGTGAAAAAACAGCTCATCCTGACTTTGAAGTAGTCAGTGATGGAGAGTTCTGTAAAACACCCTAGTAAAATTTTTAGGGGTTGATCACCCTCACTTTTAAAGGTCTTCCCCACTGGTACCAAATTGAATTTCTCTATGAACAGCAGTTCTGGGGTTATGCAGGAATGCATGACCCAAATAACGAGTAAAGTTTTAAAGTGCTGATTCCACCTCCTCTTGGAGGATCTTGACACTGATTTCCAAAGAGGTTGCATCATTTTGTTTAATATCCAGCTACACTGTCTTCAAGAAATATTTCAGCACAATAGGAGTGGATCAATAGGTGGAAGCAGCTGGAGATGTGCTTTTTGCTTCTGTGACTCAAAGCTAAAAGCCAGGCTCCTAGAGCATGTTTTGGACTCTGTAGTTTACAAACTAAGGGAGCCAAATGACAAGGAAAAAGGTGATGGTGCAGTTTGACATGGCATCAAAATGTTGGCCAGTTTGAAATCTTGGACCCTGAAGCACCACTCAATTCACTTGTAAATGGAATTTAATGAATAGATTTCTTAATATCACAAATAATAATATGTTTGAAGAGTTCTACTCATTGCAACTAACTACTTGTAAGAAATATGATAAAAATTAATCTTTTAAAAATTTAATTTAAAAAAAATTCAATCCTCTCTTTGATGACACGTATCACACATTTTTTTGTTTTTAATTCCATTATTACATTGTATATAGAGTCGCTTCTTCATCTTGAAAATAAACATTCTACATTTTAAATATATTTGGATATATCTTTCTAAGAACCTATACCTTTCACATTTCACTATCTCATAATAGTGCAGTAGTGAAAAGATAACACTAGGGGTAAAATACACAATGAAATAAGTTCCTTTGAATAGGTATTTTCCCATTGTATTGTACCCAGGTTAATTTAATGCTGTCATGACTCCAGCTCAGACTCACCATATATTTAAGTTCAGGTGAAACCGAGAGGCGCTATAGAATCAAATTGACAGGATGTGTTAGTGGCTACATGATTTCTCCATGGCAGTAGCAGACTGAGTGAAGTCTTGAATATAAAAGGCAAGGTAAATGTACGTTATATGTAGTAATCCTTTCACATTCTGTCACAATAAAATGCCCACCTGCAAACCCCACAATAACTTTAGGAAAAAAACAGCATAACCCTCCACCTAAAAATTCTCTTTCTTCTCATTTTGTGCTTTCCAGAAACATATTTTTCTAATCAAGCATTAGTTGCTTTATAATTCTAATGTTGTTGCAAAAGACTGGCAAGCTGAAATGCATTACACAAACAGATTGTTACTTTCACTAGTAGTTTTAATTGATGTTAAAATTATTGTCCTACATTAGTCTTATGCCATTATTGTTTAATGTATTTAGTGGGGGAGTTGTTCTCTGTTTATCTGTCAGCATGCTGTGAATGTAGCTGGTTTGTCGTCTGGAGAGGGCAGCTTTGTGGTATAAACACTTTTTAAACACCTACACGCCACTAAAATAGAGCTCCAGTTACTAAGCGGGTCAGCTCAGACCTTCTGAGGTAAATGTGCATAGGCTGTAACTCTCTCGTGTAAGGACTGATTTTTATTCTGCACTTTTACAACATAGCATTAAACATTAATCTTGAAAGGCATCAACAGCTAGGCATTATAAAATTATATGAGGCCTTTATGACTAATTCTGAAAATGGATGTCTCTTCTCTTCTCTTTGGACATTAAACATCCACAACATTTATTATATATTTTAAAGAAAGGCTTACCAAGAGTAAAGACTAAAATTTATTGGCTAAAAATTCTTCAGCAGGCCTTTTTCTGTACAATAACAGTCAAAAACTGATATCCTCTGTATATTTATCTTGCTTGCACTGACACCATTTAGTTCCACCCCCAAACAGGAAAGTCTCTTGAGATTTTTTTAAACCGGAGGCATTTCTTCTTCAATGTCACTTAATATTGAAATACACTGAAATCAAAAGTGCTTTGCATAATAAATAAATAAATGTAAATTCATTGATGGTGGATTTGAAGTAAAAAAACCCCAAAAACATCACAAGGTGAATGGTGTCGATAGTCATTTAC